TCTCAGCTGTTAACCGAAAGGTTGGAGGTTTGAACTCATGCAGTGGCTCTGCTAGAGAAAGGCCTGGTGATCTGCTTTGGTAAAGATTACAGTCTAGAAAATCCTATGGGGCAATTTTAGCCTGTCTCGTGGGGTCACTATGAGTCAAAATCAACTTGATGATACCAAACAACGATATATGTACAAATATTCCGTATATATGTACATATACATACACACACAGACACACGGTTATTAAGGCCACTAACAGCTATATTTTGGAGGCAATTTTTATATCTTTGTAGGTTGGGGGATACTACCAATAAGCATAATCAACTCTTATTATGGGTAAGCTCACTACTCATATGTTCGTTGATATTCTCAGCCCCTAGGCTGCATTAAGAACTCTTCTCTTGCTCCCCAGATACCCTAAACATGTCACGATAGTTCCATAAAAGTATATCTGTAGGGTTGTCCCTGTCCCTACCATGTTATTGGTTTCTGTGCTCACTTCTGCAACTGCACTGGGGCTCCCTTAAAGGCCCAGGGCCCACCATGCATCCAGCAGGTGGAGAGCTCAATGAAAAGGTGGGGCCCCACCTTGGGATTTGTATATAAATATCCTGCCTTATCTTTGGATAATATAGACGAAAGGGAAATTTTTTCTTTTCTCTTCTGTACTTTCTGTACCTAGCTGCTATCTGAATAGAGAAATGGCAGGAATGTGTATGTATTTTTTTGGATCAAAAACCAAAAAAGACTGAAAAGTACATGTGGGGCTGTTATCTAAATGCAGGTGAAGATAAGTGTGAGTAATAAAGGTGGGGATGAATAAGTAGAGAATATGCCTGAAATGGGAATCGAGTTATGTGAATATCAATAAATCCCAAAGCAAACAAATACTAACACCCTCAGTATTAAAACTAGTCTACAAGACTAACAGTCTACACGAACCACGTTATCTCATCTACTCTGAGACTAGAAGAACTAGATGGCGCCTGGCTACCACTAACAATCGTCCTGATCAGGGCCACAATAGATGGCTCCTGATAAAAGGGGAGAAAAGCATGAACTAGAACTCAAATTCTTAAAAAGTCCAGACTTATTGGACCAATTGAGACTAGAGAACTGTCCGAGACTATTGCCGTGAGATACTCCGTAAACCTTGAACAGAAACTACCCACTGAGGTCGCCTTTTAGCTAAATAACGGATTGGCTCATAAAATAAAGACTATTACCAGTGAGTAACAGTCTTTAAAAAATCATCTATATGAGACCAAATGGTCAACAGTTACTCTAAAGCAAAGATGAAAGGGTAAGGGAACAGGGAAACAAGATTACTGGAGACGAAACATCCAGAATGGAATTAATGAAAATGTTGACACACTGCAAAAAATGTAACCAATGTCATTGAACAATTTGCCTAGTAATTGTTAAATGGGAACCTAATTTGCTGTGTAAACTTTCACAGAAAATACAGTAAAATATTATTTAAAAAAAAAAACAGAAAGACCTGTAGAGTCATTTGTGAGCAGGGAAAAGAAAAGGAATAGGAGAAAGCAAAGGCTGCTTTCATACCAGTTTATTTCCCATTGAAGGAACTAGAATGACCTTAAATGTCCTAGATCAAACAAGAGTTGTAGAAAAACAAGACTGAATGAGAATAGGCTACAAGATGGAGTGGCTAAACGAGGGCTGGAAGGCAAAGTGTGGCTTGGTGCAGGTTACTTCTATTAGGAGATTAGACACATAGGGACAACACTGACCTCTTCCATTTCAAATGAGTCCAGGGCTGCACCTGAAAGATGAGACAAGTTTTCGAATTTGTTACTCTGAACTGAGTTCTCCTTTTGAGTTTCGGCCTTGATTGGCCCATCAGACACGCTGGAAAGTAGAGTGTTCCGGGCCAGCCTGGATGAGAGAGGTCTCCTCTTTTGCAGAAGAGCTTGGGGAGGCTGGCAAGGTAGTGAGTCACCACAAGCTTGGAGAGATTGGTGCTCTGTCAAAGGAGGTGAATGATTTTGGTCATGGTTGTTTGCCGTCTCTGGTAACTCTGCTTCACACTCCTCTGTCTTTACAGACTGGATGAAAAATTCATCCTTCAGCTTTAATGACTCCAGCTTTTCTGGCTTACAATCCCTCCTTATGCTCTGTTTGGAAGCTCTTCTTAAAAGTTCACCCGTTCTTCTCTGATGCTCTTTGGCCCCACTCCATGGGACTTTTTCTGCACTCTTTCCTCCATTTTTCTCTTTTGCTTTGTTCTGTAGGATGTTAACATCATTCAGCAAAGATGAGAAGGCATTGGTCACACGGTCCAGGATTTCCAGCTGTCGAAAACATCCTAAACAATACAAGGAACACAAAATTCTTAGACTGACTATTTTCAATTAATCTGCATTAATGCAGTCTATACTGAAGAGGTTGGTTAAAATATGTGCTTTTTAAGAAGAGAAAGACCTTAAGCTCCTGAAACTCAAATTTTGCTCAGTACAGACCACTGCTATTACGGTGATAATTTCCCCCACACAATGAGATATCACTGTATTACAGGGAAAGCAAATGCCTTTTATATTTTAAAGACACATAACTATATAGATTACTATATGCTTATAATTTTTATATGTGCTAATCTATAAAGCTGTAGACATGGGAAAATCTATATATTTATGTATATAAAACTAAATGTAAAAGAGTAAACCCAGCTCTTTCACGAGGCGAACTTTGGTATTCTTCCACAGCTTTACGCTGTAGATAACCTCATCATCTCCATCATCTCCATCTATACAGTCATCTGATGTGTGGAGAGATCATGGCATATGGGGTCAAAAGACCTAGATTCAAATCCAGTTTATTAACCGGTCACTATGACCACAGAGTAAATGAATCAATAGGTATACAGTGCTTAGCCCTATGCCAGTTGCATAGTAAATAGTCAGTTTCTTCATCTGGAAAATAACAGTAATAATGTATAGCCTATGTATCCATTGGGAACATCAAGCCAAACCAGTTTCTCAACTTGTAAGCCTTTCTGGTTGATTTGGCCTCCATTATTTAAGTACAACATAAATATTGACTTAATGAGCATATGAGAAAGACTGAATTCAGCAAGGGCTAATATGGGAACACATTGCCAGTTTGGGAAAAAAATGGTGAAAGAAATTTTTGACATCTCAAGCTATTATAACTAACGTAATAAAAACAGAATACTTTGTTTTTGTTGCACAACCTTCTCTCAATCCCAACGATAGTATTCAAGTTTGCATCACTCAGCAATGGTCAAGGACAAGGTAGATGGGTAAGGATACTGTCCTCTGTCCTGGTGTTTGCACCATCAGAGCAACACTATTGACACTTCCATGGGTGTGTCCTTAAGACCACCTGTTCCTTCACCTGAAGGGGAAAATACTGACCGACCATTCTTCTCGTCTCAAAATGTGATGGGTTTCTCACAGAGAGTTGTGATACTCTTTCAAGACCTTTAGGAATTCTTGGGTACTGGATGTTTTCAGAAGAAGAATTCTGATTACATCTTTCCCCTAAATTCTGACAAGGTTGAAAATAAATATCTCTGGTGAGCCAGAGGGTACAATTGAATCATAATTCAGCTTTTATGATTGTCTTATATCCATTGCATATTTTTATACTCAGACTAAAACAAAACCTATCAATTTAATTGGCTCAGTCAATTGGAAACAAAATAGTCTGAAGTGTTAGATGAGTGTTTTGCTTTTTTTTTGCCTCTGGATAGGCTGAACAATGGACCAATTGATTTTCATTCCTCTAAGTTTGAACATTTTGTATTGACTTTGAATGAGACATAATTTTCCAGTCTATCTTTTGACAAGCCAACTAATTTTATTATTGCTTGTTTTACATTTGACCTCCTTAGCTTTTTTGAATCAAAAAGTGCATTGGTAACTATCAGCACAATATAAGTGGTGGAAGCAAGAGTGGGCGGGCAACCACAGGAGCAGAGACCAAGTCCTGGTTCCTTCATAATCCATGTGTTAATTTCATTTCTTTACTTCACAGATCAGCCCAAACACTTCTTAAATGTTAGCATTATTACTTTCCCCAAATAAAGAATTGATCAAAGAACTTGTATTTCTGTGCTATTTGGAAGAGGCGATCACAAAGGAAAATGTTGATTTCTTCTAAAGAATAAAGAAACACTACATTGTAACACCTTCGGGGTTGTATACTCTTTTACAAAAATCTCAGAGTTGTGCTTCTGAGACTCGTTTCACCCACATAATGACAAAAACAGGGGAGACAGAAACTAAAATGAAAAATTCCTGTGAACTTTTGAGAAAAACACTTCATCTCAGTTGACTTTTCCTTTTGGTGAATTTATTTATTAAAAAAAATGATTTCAGAAACAGAATTCCTCATGCTCTGTTCCATGGAAGAGATGTTCTTCAATGCTCCCCCAAAAGGAATTACGCATTTAACTGATTTTGAAAATACTGCACTGTATTCCCTTTAGTATAGTGACAGTTCACCTTAGCATAGTAAATAAATTCTGAATTAAATAAACCTGCTTAACTTGCATCTTTCCACCAAATTATTTGAGCACAATACACACGCTCCAACAACATCCTTAGTAATGTTCTAGAGAAAAGTATTTCATTAACCACAAGTTGGTGAAAAATAGCAGCATTCATGATAACTATAAGGTTTAAAAAGATCTGTTGTGAAAAAGACCAGATTTACTGGCCTGACAGAGACTGGAGAAACCCCAAGAGCATGGCTCCCGGACACCGTTTTACCTCAGTAATGAAGTCACTCCCGAGGTTCACTGTTCAGCCAACGATTAGACAGCCCCATAAAACAAAACAAGACTAATGGGGTACAACAGTCCAGGGACGAGGACTAGAAGGTAGGAGGGGACAGGAAAGTGCTAATAGGGAACCCAAGCTTGAGAAGGGACAGTGTTGACATGTCGTGGGGTTGTTAACCATTGTCATAAAACAATATGTGTACTAACTGTTTAATGAGAAACTATTTGTTCTGTAAGCCTTCATCTAAAGTACAATTAAAAAAGAAAAAAAAAAAGATCTGTTGCCATCGAGTCGATTCCAGCTCATAGGACCCTATAGGACAGGGTAGGCTGCCTCATAGGGTTTCCAAGGCTGTAATCTTTATGGATGCAGACTGCCAAATCTTTCTCCAATGGAGAAAGTGAGTTCGAACTACTAACCTTTTGGTTAGCAGCTGAGGACTTAACCAATGCACCGACCAAGTTCACTATAAAATTTAGGCATAGTTATTCCACAAATCTGGAGGTACGACAGAACCCCTAGTGACCCACTCGCAAAATTTTTGCTTCCTGTCCCCACAACCCTATGCTCTGTAGGTCTAGAGGTCCTAGTTCCAAAGGGAGGAATGCTCCTACCTGGAGACACATCACTGATTCCATTGAACTGGAAGTTAAGAATGCCACTTGGCCACTTTGGGCTCCTTATGCCTCTGGATCAAGAGGCAAAGAAGAGAGTTATCATATTGGCTGGTGTGATTGATGCTGATTACCAAGAGGAAATCGGATTGATACTACATATGGAGATATAGAAGAGTATGTCTGGAATACAGGCGATCCCTTAGGGTGTCTCGTAGTACCACCATGCCCTGTGATTAAAGTCAATCTGGCCATACACTGCCATTGCTGGGATGTGAATACCACGCAGTCCTCACTTACCATACAGGCTAAGATTCTCAAAGTCCATCCGCTGCTTTTGAGCTTCAAGAAACACGCGGATGTTGATTCCTTTGGCTGCAGAGCTATAACCAAAGAACCTGGTCGGGATTTGTGTGCAGATGTCTGGCTCATCAGCACCAAACCCCAGATCCAAGAGAATCTCCACAGGATCTATTTTCCTAAATTCCAGCCATTCAGGAATGCTGCAATAAAAATAGGAATATCTTTATCCAGTAACAGTTCACTTAAACAGAAGTCATTTTTCTAGTCGGCTTAACCACCTAATCTTGCAGAAATTGAGTGAAAGAAGGGCCCGAATAGACAAACAGTTGGTGAGTTTACTAATCTATATAGCCTAAAAGAACCCAGGTGGTGTAATGGTTAAGTGCTCAGCTGCTATGCTAACTGAAAGGTCAAAGGTTTGAACCCATAAGTCACTCAGCAGGAGAAATGACCTGCTCCTGTAAATACTATACCTTAGGAAACCCTATAGGCCATTTTTACTCATCCTATAAGGTTGCTATGAGTCAGAATCAACTTGATGGCATACAACAACAGCAACAATATATACTCTGTTGGTTTTTCATAGTGTGGGGGCTAACATGTTGCTATGATGCTGGAGGCTATGCCATTGTTATTTCAAATACCAGCAGGTCACCCATAGTGGATAGGTTTCAGAAGAGCTTCCAGACTAAGACAGACTACAAAGAAAGGCCTGGTGATCTACTTCCAAAAATTAGCCAATGAAAACCCTATGGATCACAACAGAATATTGTCCAATATAGAAGCTGAGCCCCCTACATCAGAAGGCGCTCAAAATACGCAGCAGTACAATGTACTCCATCATACCAACAATAGTGAAGATGGTGCAGGAGCAGGCAACATTTCACTCTGTTGTACATGGGGTCACCATGAGTCGGAGCCAACTCAATGGAACTAACAACAAAAACAAATACATACTTACTTAAAGGATAGTCCCTTGACCCCTACTCAGGGACCATTTGCCTTTACTTTACATGTGATACCAATGAACTTATTTATCTGGTTTTCCATTTCACAATAAAGCAAAAAACCAAACTAGCCTCATTGCCGTCGAGTCAATTCTGACTCACAGTGACCCTATAGTACAGAGTAAAACTGCTCCATAGAGTTTCCAAAGAGAGCCTGGTGGATTTGAACTGCCAACCTTTTGGTTAGCAGCCAAACTCTTAACCACTATGCCACCAGGGTGACGTTTGTTAAATTACATAGGGCAGAAAGATTGTGGGGCAGCAGTCAGAGGCAGTGCACGAACTACTACAAAGAAACGGGGGTTGTTGGCAAGGACGGAAATGGGAAAAAGCCATAAAACAGTGACTCAAAGAAGAATATTTTTAAAGAGCATCGATCTGGGGCATCCTCAACTATACAGATCACTAAGTGCAGATTATAAAGACTGATGTTTACAAATAATATTTGTACCTAGATAGGTAGGGTTAAAATGTGTCCTGTACTTTTGTGTTTTTTTTTTTTTTTGGTGGGGACTTTGCTGAGAAACAAGCAATGCTTTTGTCAAATTGTTTTATTCAGTTAGGGCACTTAAAACGATAAACATCAGTTATCTGAAATTTACATTTATATATAACAACTTATTTCCCAATTACTGAACTTCTCTTCTGTTACTAGGCTATTGATCTTTTAAAACTCATGGACTCTGTGGGAATCAGAACTTTTTATCAAGTTTTACTAGATCTGTTCAGCTCTTTTGTTGTGGTTTGCCTTTGCCTTTACTTTATACGTGATATCAATGTGCTTATTTGAAATAACTTAGATAATTTTACTTTCATGACTCTGGCCCTAGTGGTGTAGTGGTTAAGTGCTACGGCTGTTAACCAAAAGGTCAGCAGTTCAAATCCACCAGGTGCTCCTTGGAAACTCTATGAGGCAGTTCTACTCTTTCTTATAGGGTCACTATGAGTTGGAATAGACTCAATGGCAACGGGTTTTTTTTTTTTTAATAATTACAATTTGTTTACTTAATCAATCAACAGCAGCCACCTATCATCTCAATGGGCAGGCCCACTTATCAGACACCACCCAGCATCACATTCACACAATCTAACATGACATAGGGATCTGGTGCTTTGCCTCCTGATATCATCAAGGAAGAAAAGGTAGTCCAGAAACCCTTACTGTGGGGCTTAAATGGCTCAGCTTGGACATCTGAATCATTGGAATTAACTGGACGATTGAAGATGCCATATTACTTCATTACCCTGACACGCACCTTAGTATTAAAGAGGCTTAATGGAGAAAAAATTTCTTGTGAGAAATCTAAATTCTTCCTCAATGATTTAATCTATTATTATATCAACCTCATTGTACTAATTTTTATTCTACATGTTTATACAAATATTTATTGAACATCTGTCACGTTCTGGGCTCTGTGCTAAACACCAAAGGTACAAAAATAAACAAAGACATAGTCCCTGTCTTCCAAGGCTCACAGTCTCACGGCCAAGAATGTAATTATTGATTGATTTGTCATTAAACATAATTTTGGTATTATTAACTCTTTTTATTTATATTTAGTTATGCAAGAAATATGTAAAATACACTCACTTTGTTGAAAAATTACAGTATTACACTTAAGGCTATCTTCCCCTTTGGCCATAAACAAAAACCAAACAAACAAACAAAAAAACCCAAACCCTTTGCCACTGAGTCGATTCTGACTCACAGAGACCCTGTAAGTCAGAGCAGAATGGCCTCCTAGGGTTTCCAGCGCTGTAATCTTTATGGAAGGAGACTGCCTCAGCTTTCTCCCACAGAGCGGCTGGTGGATTTGAACCGCTAACCTTTCCATTAGCAGCTGAATGCTTAACCATTGCATTGCCAGGGTTCCTCTCCGCTTTGGCCATAACCCCCACTAATTCAGATTCCCTTCCTGCTAAATTTATGTGAATCCTTCCAGATATTTTTCTATGCAATTACATACACACGCTTTATAGCGTTTACTTGTTTGCGTTATAGATAGTAACATACTATGTTACTATGTGTATCTTTCTGTATTTTTTACCTCAAAAACATGACTTTAAGAGCTTTCTGTGTTAGTATGTATACCTCTACCTATTCCTTTTTTTGCTGTATAGAATTCCATAAAATGGATTGATCAATAATTTATTTGGCCATATGCTTATTGACAGACAGATATCTAGCTTGTTTCCAATTTCATTGACTCTTTTATTTTGCTCCTGCAAGTTGGAGGTTAGAAATCCTTTATTCATTCTCTCATCCATTCATTCACCAAATATTTCTCAAGTGCCTATTTATAATTTCATGAAATCCATTGTTCCACAGAATGATTTCTCTGGTTGACAAGTGCCTGGAAATCACATACCTTTGTGGTATACTTGCAGCAGAAAGGCAAGAGTTGAAATTGGTCCCTCTGGATAGGGTAGGCGTTTCTGAAAGCTGATGCAGAGATCTACAGTGGGGAAAAATACCAGGAAAATACCAACGATGAAATGTGTTGATTTAGATAGTCCCCTGGGAGGTCATTGTGAATCTTTCCCTTCCAGAGCACACATTTGCATTTCCTCTTAGTTTCTATTAATTCCACAGCGGACACGCCCCTGAGTAAGAGGGTGACGGCAGCTGAGGAACTGCTCCTCTTTTCGAGAGCGTTGTGGTACAGAAGGTGAGAGCATTTAGGTGTTAGGTGCCCCGCTAGTGCTCCTTATAAAGGTGACAGAATGTCTCACTTTTGACAGATGGCAAATCATTGGGGAACCTTTCAGGAATACAGCTTTGCTAGGCACCAACTTTTGGGAAGAAGTTACAATTATGTGATGAAAAAGGTATAGTGAGCAGCCACTGAAGTGACCCCACGTTAATTCTCATAATGCGGAAGGATTTCATACTGCATGGCTAACAATCTCTAAGTGTCGTCTCCGGGGCTCCTGTGGTCACCCATCCATTTGCAATGGAAACAAACTTCTTTGCCACAAAAACCAGTGTCAGTCTAGTCACATAGGCCTGAATTACATTTTTAAAAAAATATATGTAACAAAACATCTGCCATTTCAAACATTTTTACATAAACAATTTAATGACATTAATTACGTTCGCCACGCTGTGCAACCATCACCACTATCGTTTGCAAATCATTTTGAAGTGCTTCCACATAGAAAAGAACTCTGTTATAATACAGTTCAGTTTCACATAGCTCAGATGTACCAGGGATCAGATCTAGTCCCATTAAATAGAACAGCCAGTTGGCATAAAATTGGAATTTATCAAAGACTACAAAGAAGATATCAGTCTTCCCAAGGAGACCAAGTTATCTGGGGGCTCTCTTTAAAACCTGCTTGGGCTACTGAATTTGCCTTAGTCCTGTCCACATTTAGTAAGAAGAGCTGGGCCCTGCCTCTTCTTTTTTCAATTGCTTTCTTTACATTAAGGCTGAGAAAGTACATGTCTCTGAATAATAAAAACTCTGGCGTTTACAGACAATTGAGCTTGGTGGGAATCCTCATTAGAGGTTGAAGATATCCTTTCACTTATTTCCTCCCTCCATTTGTATTCAGCCTACCGTAATTCCTTTTTCATTCTGGGTTTGAGGTCACACCCTACTTTTGCAGTTAGTTAATCTTCAGAAGAGTTGCCCAGAAACAGCCCTGGCCTTGGATCAGGGAGAATCCATGTGTAGTCACATGTCCAATCAAGCCATGAGAGCAGGAACGAGTCGTTGAACCTGTCTTTCACTGTCCTCTTCAACAAAATGAGAGAGATGTCTGGGAGATTTTGTGGTCCCTTCTAGCTCTATGATTCTATGAGTAGCAAAGAAACCAACAAAAACCCAATCCATTAAGAGAAAAATGAAGACAAATAGCATTTTAGTGTGAACTGGTAGGAGTAAGAGGGTTACTATACTGACTGCATATTTTATTTTCAAGTTGTTAGAATTATATCCTGTTTTAAACATTTCAGGCTAAGCTTACTTGCGTCTATACACAGACATTTGAGTTCACTCATGGGCCTTCTCGTACGTACTGCTGATTTTCTTCTCATCCTCTCTCCCTGGTTGTCTTCCATTCTCTTCCTTTCTCTCCCTCCTCTTCACATCTAAATGTCATAAACAGATTTGGCAAGATAGCAGTGGATAATGACACTGATGTTTTAATGGAACTTTACAAAATTAGTTTCTTAGCAGCTCTTGGCAAGTCACAGATTCGGCAGCTTAATGGAGAGAGAATCTACTGGATTGGATTATGCCTCTTTCAGAATACTGGAGGAGATGCCAGGGGGGTTAAGTCCTAGCTTTGCCACAACCTGGCTATGAGACTTTGGATAAGTCATTTTACCCCACAGGTTTTTAGTATCTTCACCTGAAAAATGAGAAAATTTAACTTTTTCCTGTAGTAAAAGCTACTGAATGCTTTCCTTTAGAAAGATTCATGAAGCATGATAACCCGACAAGTTAATATCAAGTTCAAGGGGTCAGTTGTGACTACAGTAGACCTATTGCTTTTGATTGGGAAATATAAGGCATTTAACAAACTGTATAGGTAGAAAAGAGAGGATGGAAAAGGCCTTTTCCCCTCCAATTGTCCAATTTCTCCATCTTCTACAAGCCATGGAGGGACTCATGTCCCCTTTCCCCCCTCACTTAAGCCTTTAGAATTCCAAGTTGACTACTTTGGTGAAAATGACCAAAGAACTCCTAATAGCAATGGGATGGTCCAGTCAGGATTTTACATTTCTTACTCATGATTGTTGGATTGATGAACATATCTCCATACAATTCTCTTTTAAAATATGGTGCTTGAAAGTGCAAAGGAGAACAACATAAAATCCTCAGTGAAATCCCACACTTCCAACAACCCAGTTCCATGCAGTCAAGCTACTGTTTCTCAGCCCTGGCTGCATATCAGGATCACCTGGGTTGCTGAGGCCCAGGCCTCATTCCAAACTTACAGGATCAGAGCCTCTGGAAGAGGGCTCCATGCCTCTGCATTTCTCAAAAGCTCCCCAGGTGATTCTAATGTGTAGCTAGGGACAGGATTGACAACCACTGTCATAATGCAGTGGAACTGGATAAGGAAAAATGTAAAATGAATACAGATCTCTTTGGAACTACATCCAGACCAATCAAGAACCACCTGTCATTCCCGAAAGTGTTAAGAAAGAACTTCGATCCCAGCATTTTGTGAACTGTCTTCCCTCTCAGTGCAATCTCCACACGGTACAAAGGACTTTTGTTCCTGAGCTATATGAATTTGCTGATTATATCACACAGAGTAACCAAATAAACAGCAACACTCCATTTTAGTCTTTATTTGGTTGGTATAATCTAAAGATTTTTCTATGTATTCCTTGTGTTTTGTGTTATCTGCTTATGGGGCTTAAGTAGTTTAATTCAATTCAATTATCTAAAAATATTTCCATACTCATTATTTGCCAGGCACTGTGCTGGGCCCTAAGGATCCCTGGTGGTGCAGTGGTTAAAGTGCTCGGCTGCTAACCGAGAGGTCGGCAGTTTGAACCCACCTGCCTCTCCACAGGAGAAAGATGTGGCAGTCTGTTTTCCTAAAGATTACAGCCTTGGAAACCCTATGGGGCCATTCTACTTGGTCCTAATACGGTCGTCATGAGTCTGAATCAACTCCACAGGAACTGATTAGGGTACTGGGCCTTAAAATGCAATGGTGACTGGAGCACAGGAAGCACAGTCCTCAGCCTCAAAGAGCTCATCATCTATTCCAGTGGTTCTTAAATGAGAGTATGCATTAGGATCATCCGAAAGCCTTGCAAAAGCCCAGATTTCTCAACCCTATCTCCACATTTTCTGATTCAGTGTGTAGGGGGTGGAGCCTGGGAATTTGCATTCTATCAAGTTCCCAGGTGATGCTGCTGATGCTGTTCCAGGGACCACACTTTGAGACCTACTCTATCCTTCTACTAAGATACTCTCACTACTTTCTCCCTAACATTGGAAAATGTGTGTATTAATGCCCGGCAAAATGTCATGATAACACTGGCAATATGAAATTATGAATGTCACTATTGTATGAATGGAAACCCTGGTGGTGTAGTGAATGAGAGCTATGGCTGCTAACCGAAAGATCAGCAGTTCGAATCCACCAGGCACTCCTTGGAAACTCTATGGGGCAGTTCTACTCTGTTCTACAGGGTCACTATGAATCAGAATTGACTTCACGGCAACGGGTTTGGTTTTGGTTTTATTGTATGAACAGGCCCTTAAGAACAGTTGAATTATAGTAAAATGGTGTTTGTGTATATGTTCTAGTTACATTTCTCTCCAAGTCAGCATTTGTTGATTTAATCTGCTCACTCCTTTATAACATTTAAAGAACCTCTATTTCTTTCCAGGCTAGTGAAAACATTCTAGGCACTGTGGTTAAACCAGTGGCCTTTCACAAGATCCCAAGATATACAGTATTATTAACAAACTCCCTCACTTCTATTTCATTTATCAAAGATGTGGCTGTAGAACGCTGGAGTGAAATAACATGGATTCTGCCACGTACCTCATGTAGACTTCCACAGTCATCTGAACCATTCCTTGTTCATGCAAAGAAACTGTAACGACGAAAGGGAGGGGGGAGAGTTAATTTTCTTTTGACTCATGGAAGATTTTCTCATCCCCCAGATGAACCAACATGGGATTGATTTCCACACCCAAGGGCACATAGGCATGAGATACAAGACAGAATATAATTAACGGCTGAATTGCATGACAAGCACTTGAAGAAATGTAGAACTTATTCAGTGAAGCTAGTGACTAATGAAGTAGTCAGTAAAGGTGTCATGGAGGAGGTGGTACTTGTCTAGGAGTTTTAAGAATGGGCAGAATTTGATGGATAGAAAAGAGGTATTACTGAGAAAGAAGAGAAAGTAAGGTGTCTCTAGCAAGTGCAAAGCACAATGATAGGGCTGGTTTGTCATATGATATAATCATAGGGCTTTTGGGGATGGCATCTCATGGTACATAAAGTTGGGGTGCAAGGGCTGGGACAGGCAAAAGAATACATGAAGGACCCATCATTTATTGAGCATCTTCAGTTCATTTCTATCATTTAATCCTTACAACAACTTTATAATTTAGGAACTATTCTCATTTTTCAGATAAGAAAGCTAAGACTCGTTGAAGTTAAGAAGTGAGCCCATAATCACAACATTAAAAATAGCAGATCCAGGAGTTTTTTTATTATCTTTATTATTAATTGCTGCCAGAGTAGTTACTGTTTATCTATCACTTACTTTGTGAGAAGCCCTGTGCTAAGCATGTTACGCGTACAGTCTCGCTTTAATTCTTATAAGAAATCCATGAAGTAGGTATTATCAATTCCCATTTCACAGAGGGAAAAAATGGAGTCTCACAGAAATTAAATAAATTTCCCATGGCTTGTAGGATGCCACAACCTATTTTATTTTGTTGTTGTTGTTTCTTTGGTTCTTTTTCTAACACCACTCTGCCAAACAGAATGTTGTGAAGCTTGTTTGAAAGCCAGAAAGAAGAATTTATATGTATATGTAAGAAAATGGAAAACCATAAAAGGTTTTTAAGCAAATAAGTAAATGTGATAAAGATGATGTTGAAGATCCATTTGACCGGTAGTGGTGCTAAGGACAGATTCAAGCCAAAACCAAACCCATTGCTGTCAAGTAGATTTTGACTCATAGCGTCCCTATAGGACAGAGTAGAACTGCTCCATAGGGTTTCCAAGGGTGTAACCTTTATGGAAGCAGAATGCCACATCTTTTTTCCATGGAGTGGCTGGTGGGTTTGAACAACCAACCTCTCATTAGCAGCTGGGCACCTAACCACTGTTGAAGCAGGGCTCCTTAAGGACAGATTAGAGGAGAGAAATACTGGACGTCAGAAGTTCATTAAAGCAGTTGCAGTATTCAGACTCTGTGTCATGATGTAACATTGCAGCAAACCCTGCAGAGGGAAAAGTTGAGAATATGGGCAAGTTTCTCAGAAGGTTCACATTTGCTCTCCTAGTGCAAATGTGTGACTTGTATAAAACCAGAAAGTATTGTCCTCCTGCACTTCTATGAGAATATGAAGATTTTCACCATAAGGGAAATAATAAAGATTGCAAAAACTCAGAAAAACAAGCCTGAAATAATTGAAACAGGATGAAAGAAGCCTGAAAATAATAAAAGGCTCTTCAGCCTGCGAGCCAGGGCTCTTGTCAGGACTGGGGTCTATGTACACACCTCAAGGTATCTGTGAGCTTCTCTATGAATGCCAAATGCTGGAGTCATAAACAGGATTACCCATAGTTTTCAGCAGATTTTTAAAAGGCTCAGTGACTCTGCTAAATGGAAAAGGACTACTGATCTCAAAAGGTAAAAACTGGAGATACATTATTGAGGTGTGAGTGAAGAACGAATTCTTAACTAAGCCCGAAATGGACAACTACTCCTTAAAAGCGGTAGTAATATAAGATACAAGAAATGTCTGTCCTACAGAGCAAATGGAACTCTATTTCCAAAAGAGTCATATAAGGTGAAGCATATAAGTCTACTTTAAAGGTTTAAACACACAGTAGGGCTCTGTATGCCCTCCGTGCTACCACTCCCAATCTTGCTCCCATTAATCAATTGCATCATTTCTCCATCAAATGTAGACAGGCTCTCAGAATCATCAGGAAAGCCACTAACAACTTATTAGAATTATCACGTGAGATAAAGCTTATGTGCCATTCTTTGTTTGTTTAGGGTAAACTCTGGAGTGGTTTTTGAGAAAAGTAGAGTAATTTGGAGGTATGTATCTTGATTTTAGACTTTAATAACTTGAAGAAAATATATACTGCTTCATAACATTCCAAGGAACCACAAAGATAGAATATTAAGGTGAATAATCATTATCATGATACACTGTGACATTTCTTAAGTTTCCTATGCAACATCTGATGACAAATATTCACGGAAGGTAAGATAAAATATTTGATTCAAACTCATGCACCAACTCAGCAATATACTTAGAAACAGTCGTTTTAACCCTTTGCACTAGTACGTTCAAAACTTTCAGTTTAGTAAAGGAATCCCACAACCACATGAAATCTTTCGCAAAATTCTAACAATGTAAGTAGATAAAAAGGGAGCTGTTCTGGATGAAGTAGTCTCCCATTCAGTTTTTCCTTCACCCCACGAGGCCCTTCTAGGATGTAGAGTTCGAAAAGTATCGATCCCTCTATTCAATGCACAAGTCTCTCCTCTAGGCAGGCATTGCTAATCCACTGCAGCATCTTGCTCACTGAATTCTACCCAGTCTCAGAGCTTCTCAAATTAATGAAGCTACTGTCAATTGATTGAAGTTGTCACATGAGAGAAAACCCATTTGCCACCTTATTAATCATGTTATGGATGCGAGCACAGTATAATCTTTAGAAATCATGTGGTAATGACTTAATGTCATGATGAAATAAATAATAAGCTGTGCAAAATGGAAGGTAAAAGAAATATTTATTATTTTAAGCAAAATTTTTCGGTTGTCCCCACCACCAGCTCCATCCACTGCTTTGCGTATAGTTTACATAGGAAGGCTCTATTTGTGCCTGGTGTAGCTAATCTGGAGAATTCTGGAGAGTTTTTGAGCGCCTCTCCTCTCCTAAAACATCCCACGATTCTAGGACATTTGGTTGTTTACTCCGCCAGTGCCATCACTCTTACTCCTTGCTTCAGTTTCTTCTGTTGTCTGTTATTTCTCTGGGCGTGAATGAATGCGTACAGTCTGGGTCAAGAGACCGACATTGTGGTCACAGTGAATTGCTCAAACTGTCAGAGGGGAAATGATCAATTTTAGATATTGATGAGAAGAGCTAACTCAGCCTTGATGAGTTTTCAAAAATTCTAACACTGCAGAAAATCTAGCCATCCAGAAAAATCTGTAGCCCTTCACCCAGGGCCTCTTCATGGGATTCTAGTGCTCATACTCCCTGGGCCACACCTTCAGCCCTGCTAGTGTTATTCAGGAGCCATCTGGTTCCACGAAATAAGAGTGGCCTCCCAAAGGAAAAGAAGTCCCTAAGGATAATGTGTTTTCTCAGGAGTGTGCAAAGGGGACAGGCTCAGTCACAATGGAGGGTGTTCTGGTCTGACAGCACATAGGAAAGCCTTACACAGTTTTAGCACCAGCTGAAGAGAAGGGCCTTCTTACTTTCCTCCATGCAGCTTCCTCTGAGGCCCACCATCGCTGACAATTAGGGTTGGGAGGAATGTTTGATCCTCCCACCATAGAATCCTGGAGTCCCTGGGTGATGCCAATAGTTAACGCGCTCGGCTGCTACCAAAAGGTTGGCAGTTCAAGTCCACCCAGAAGGCCTCTGGATAAAGGCCTAGCAATCTACTTCCAAAAAATTCAGCCATTGAAAACCCTAAGGAGCACAGCTATACTCTGACACTCATGAGCTCACCATAAGTTGGGGCCAACTTGACAGCAACTTGTACCGGTGACCCAGAATCCCACTCTCATTGGCATACTGCAAGTTTTTGCAACCTTTACTAGGCTCTTTTATTTTTTTCTTCTTGATCTTATTTAAAATGTCACAAATGTCTGTTTACATCCAATACATTTAGACATACAGGCCGCTCTACTGCCAAGCTTCAATTTTGTGAGATGTATTTTAACTCACAGATAAACCTGATTCATAAAATTATTAAAAACTGATTAGTTTTGCTGCTTGATTTCCATTCTGCATTCCCTGGCTCCCTAGACCCTGAAAGACCTGGTGGTATTTTCACAGCATTTCTGGGTGTTTGGGAGCCTGTGGGTGGCACAGACGGTTAAGCACTCAACTACGAACCAAAAGGTTGGCAGTTCAAACTCACCCAAAAGCATCTTAGAAGATGGCCCGGCAATCTGCTTATGAAAGGTCACAGGCTTGAAAACCCCATGGAGCATAGTTTTAGTTACCATGAGTGGAAATCTACTCTGGTGTTTACTTGATGCTGCAGAAGCAGCTATAGGCCTTTCCAGCATTTAGATTCAGACAACTGAGATTTTTGCACAAAACTCAAACCAAACCTGTTGCCATTGAGTCGAATCCGACTCATAGGCTAGTGTGAAATTATTATTTGCCTGCTGGAGGTTTTTTTTTTTTCCAAGGTAAACTCCTTGGAGCCTAAAGCAAGTGTGCCAGGGCCTGGTCCTTGCTTTCCTTTCCTGTTTCAACAATGAACCTGAATCGAGAGCACAAACTTGGGGCCCACGGTGTGCCAGCTCTCACAGGCACTGGGATTCCTAGACGTCCTCACAACTTGGGAGATCCAGCAGCAACCCCCAGTTCTCTTCAGGGCAGCAATCTGTCAGAGACGATGTGCTCTACAATTCTCCACAGCCCCTATCCTGCGCGCCTCACTCATTAGTGGTTTCCAGCCTGGCCATGGAAAGTGTTTGAGTTTGCTAACTTCGCAAGGATTTCAAGCCCAGAGAATGCCATAATGGGACAAACAGACTGCTCCTGTTACCCAGAATTTTCCCCAAGCTTCTGCAGGCACGGTCTTGAGGCTCCGCAGGTAGAAGGTGGGAGCTTCATAGATTTACCTGTATTCTGCATGAAGCCCTG